CACACTTTCTTGAGCCACCCTGTAGACTCCAAAATATTTTCCTTGTGCAGCCTTAATCAATATAATACTTATAATGATATGAAGAAATTTCTCAAAAAAATAATAATGGTTTGGTTAACAGGGAACATGTATGTGGATTAATTCAGAGTTAATAGTTAGGCTAATGTTGAACCATTATTATATTGATTTAGTATTCGAATAATTCAAACTCAATTCATATAAGAAATAAAATGGAAGTAAATTCACAACTAGAGTCATGGTGATGATTTTTGCGATCTGTTTTCAGTAAAAATATGTGTTTCAGATATGTTATGAATCTATTGTCAAAGTCGGTTCACAGGATGAACTTTCAGTGTCAAACCTCATTTTTCAGTACCAAAGCTGCTCTTCAGAGCCATAGAGGCCGTGAAGCATCATTTGAACGGTGTAATAACCAAAACAAGGAAAATAACAACTACTTTGGTTCGAGTCATCCAAAGTTACTATCAATACAAAGAAATCAATGGCAATATTACTTTGGACGTTGATATTCCGAAATGGGCAACACCTCAAGATTTAGAGTACTGTAAAGGCGTTCTGGCTGTTTATGAACAGTATCACGAAGCAATAGGGTATCTATATTTTTTTACACATTTTAGAACAATAATTATTATTGAATTGTTACAAACGTGCTTATTCACTAATAGTGCAAAATCATGTTTGAACACATCCTAAAAACTGTTTTTAGTTTAATCTTCCTCTTGAAGATGATCACTTGGTAATCAAAACACGTGTCGAGGTGTTAAAATAACGGTTTGGTGTTGAGACACCTGTATAAAGTACTGCTATAACCTTAGGAAACTTGACCATATTAGCGGGTCTCTTGATAACTCAAAATGGTTAAAACTTGAACATAGATTTGTCTGGCATCTATCAAACTTGATATTTAAAATCTCTAAATATCATAAACCTATTTATTTAGTAGCCAAATTGGTGAATGGTTCCGATTTACATAACAGGTTTAGAGAGATGTACACTGTTCCTTTACATAATAGTGCCATGTTCCGTAAATCCTTCCCAGTATCGTTATTATTATTTTATTATTATTATTTTTTACCGTAGTATGCGCTGGTCAGGCCCTATTCCCCGAAGCCTCGATACATTCGGGAGGGGGCACCAGCTTTATCAACCAACGACCACTCTCCACACCGTGGTGTAAATGACCATTGGGTCCGAGAATCATGTGCCCTGAGCAAGCGCTGTGAGCCAAGAATGACAGCCTTCTGCATCTGTCCGGCTAAGATTTCGGCCTCAGTGCGGCAGGCCGGTATGATTTTAAGATTCGAGAGTAGAGAGGACATCATTCCACCAAGGACTCCAATAATCAGACCATCCTGACAGAGTGGTCTGGATAGAGTCTGCGGAGTTCGAAGAGAAAATCTCGATATTTTATCCGTCTTTCGTCGCCAGGAGCTGAAAACTACACGACAAATATCGTCCTGCTCTGGTGGTCGAGAAGGACTACATCAGGCTTATTAGCTTGTATGAGCCCGAGGGTGGGAAACGAATAGTTTCAATGAATTCGGCATTTCTCGTTCCCCACAACGGATTCGATATCCCCCGTGGCGTAGGGCATCACCGGTGTCTCGTGAATACCGTAAGAGTGTCTTAGATAGTAATGAAGCTCTCTTAGGACCGCGTTATGTTAATGGACATAGGTTGAGACCGCATAAGCTGGACATGCTGATAGCAAGTGCATTAGTGTCTCGGGCGCCTCTCGGTAGGCCCTACACCTTGTGTCAGGAACCTCTATACACATCACGCGACTGCGGTTGACTAAGGTGTTCAAGACACAATACTGGTTAGCCATGATGAAACCCTCAATTTTTGACTTCAGCCCACTCGACCTGAGGAAAGTAAACGTCAGGTGTTTTGATAAGCCAAGGTTATTATTATCATTATTATTATTATTAGTATATACCCGTGATTCGTCACCAGTTATGATCTTTTTTGGCAAATCTGGATCGCCGTTGACATCATACTTATAATTATGAAGTCTATACAATATACAAGGGTTGGGTTGGCTATTTTCTTGTGGCAGGTATAAACAGGTAAGTCGATGCCAGTAATTCACACCCATATGTGTAATAAATAACTCTTACATCAAAATAAAAAATGTTTCATTGCGAACACGTTTTCTTCGACAAATTTGGCCTCGCATCACTCGCATCAGAATTTCACATTTTAAAGCTCGCCAACCGTCATTCATGCCAATTTTTGAGCAATCAACCTCATATCATCGTGTCTGCATGAAACAGCTTTCATTTTGTTAAGATTTATTCAATAAACAGTTGGATCTGAATTACTATTTACTATTAATAACTTATTTGTTTATACCGGCTAACCCAATAGTTATGCTAAGAAGAAAATAGTTAACCCACACTTTCAATTGGACTAAAATTTGTCCATTAAACGAATGATTGTAAGATTGTAATGTTTGAGGAAATCATTTTTGAATTTTAAATTAAGCATAGTATGACCAGTATTTCATCAGCCAACCCACTTGCGATTTATTTTTTATCCAACCGAATTTCTCATAAAATACTTTTTGTCTATTAAAAAAATGACTGAAGGTCGTTTTTAATTCGGATTTTCCACTGCAACAAAAAACACTATTCGAAGCATCGAATGGTCAAAACTCCGATCTTTGATTCGTTTGTATACATCTCTCATGAAAAATTAGGATATCATCATCAGGTATCACAAAATCAGTTCTCAAGAACTTCAAGTAACTTTTATTATGTTGTTGTATACTTTGCTCAAGAATTTAGTATATGTACAGTATATACAATACAGAAAATAACTTTTGTCTAATTTCTACTGAGTTTATTATTTGTTACGAGCGGTTTCGGTTTATTACATTATTTTTAAGAGTACCGTTGCATTGATATTGTAAATGAACATCATCAAAATAGAAGGGATGTCCTAGATTAAGATGATGTTCAGACAAAGTTACCCTTCCAGACTTCGATAAATTGCTTACCTTCATACTTGAGTTCCATTTTAAAGCTCAGTACCTATCCATTTTGTCCTACATAAATATTATTGCAATTGTATTTTCCATCATATACTAGGTTTGATTTGTTTTCTTTCTTAATTTGGCATTTACAGTTGAAAGTATGCTTTTCCATTTGTTATTGTTATATGAAGTAATACGGGCATGTTCGGTTTTGAATACTCTGGATCAGAGAAAATTATTCAAGTGTTAGAAACCGAACATATCCTTATTGCTCAATATAACAATAACATTTCTGAAAACATCCTTCTAGCTGTTTAATAAAATCACAAAATGGAAACAAATCAAACTCAGTATACGACGTAAAATGAATTTCATAAGTATTGGTTAATTTATCTTCTATTCTATACTTGTTATTATTATANAAATAAAACGTGTTTGTTTCCAAGAAAAGCACTGCTCACTCTTTCATACGTTCGTTTCATTAACCAAGTTGGCATTATCGGGATATGAACTAGTCTAATTCCGAACTCAAACCCAATAGGAAATAGTACCTTGTCGCTGTTCTTATGTCACACTTTGCTATATGCAGATTTTTGAAAGCATTCAAAGTGTCATTGCCTAATATGATCTAAAATAATTTCAAATCACTGAAAGAATCAATAAAGTTAAAATGAATAGCTGAAAATAACAGTTATACTAAGCAGAAAAAACCCTGAAATGAAATTACAATAAAATAAAATACCAGCAACAATTGAAAATAAAACAATTGAAAAGAAATTAAAATTGAAAGATTTCCAGAAAAGTTACTTCACGAAGTTTCGATTGTTAGTATTCTCAATCTAAACGTCGTGAAGTAACTTGTAATCTTTCAGTTTTTTTTTTCTTTTTAATTGTTCAGTTTTCTATATATGATGGAATTGGCCGATACTTGACGAAAGTATTCTGAGATTTTCACTAAAAAGTTTTACAAAAACGCAACTTTACTAAATACAGTGTCTTTAGTAAAGTAGTAGTAGAATGGTGAAACACGTGTTGCGTTTTTGTAAAATTGTTTATATATATGAAGAGATGAAGACGTGAAAATACTGTTGATCATGTCTATTTTGTTATGTAGCGTATCCTTGTAGTCAGTTCAAATGTTATCTAACCTCAATCATCAATTATTTAAATCAAATAAATAAAAAAACATCCTAGAAAATAACACAAACAAATTTCCACATGAATGCGCATGAGCAACGGGAACAGTTCTCAACAGTTTTGCCTCGAGAGCAAGAACGATTTGGGACGGTTCAAGACAGTTTAAGATCATTTCGCAGTCGAAACCAGAACAAAGGATTCATGAATCCGAACTTATCCCCAATAAACCAGAACGCTCTATACCAACTGCGCATGATCCTGACGTCCTATAACCTGAATTTCGTAGAAACAAACACTTTATATCATATTGAACAATGGAAATCCGAACTAATGAAATTCACCATGACACATTGTCAACCACCGTAAATCGAAGTAAAATATATGATTACGATAAGAATCATATAGGGTATATTCATATTCATTTATTTCACCTTGTTTCATACATGACTTTATAATTATAGCAAGTTAAATTGAAGCATAAAAAAGAAGAACATAGTGAAGAGCTATAAAAATGCAGGTTGTACAAAACGATCATATTTGAAATATAATCAGATGTACACATTTAAAACATTAAAAATCCATATGGTCTGCCTGAAGGTAATCTTGAACAATTTATTTTTGGATGCCGTTGGTTCAAATGTTTTGATGATTTCAGGTAATTTACTATTTTTTTTGGGAATGTTTCTTTGAAAATAGTTTAATTAACCAAAACCGGTTGTAACAAATAAACGTCTTAGTGGAAATTAGGCAAAAGGTATTTTCTCTATCCCATATTTAATTTATTATACTAAAGTAAGCTTGGTGAATTATTCTGTGCATACCTGATGGCTAATGGGCACTAGACTGAAATAGGGTATATATAGTCATAAAAGTCTGTAAGGACAGTCCTCTGTTTGCACATCATGATCTATGTCATCACTTTGATTTTGATAATGTCAGTTTACTGGATAATAGCGGTAACCTATAAAAAGTGAACCTCAGTATTTTACTGAATGATTTTTTTTGTTAGTGGATGTATTTTTCTTGTTTCATTTTTATTTTGAAAGATCTGTAAAGAAGGCCATCTCACTTCAAGGAGGGAAAAATACTGTATCCTGGTATGTTATGTGTAAATAAAATGTTCAGAAGGACACATTGACCTCTTTTGAAAGTGATACCTACTAATGGTACTACTTCAATAGAATCACATTGGATTCAGATACTTTCAATGATTTTATGAGAAGAAAATTAGATAAATATGTATTAGGACATACACCTACGGAATAAAATTGAGTTAACCCAATATTTTTTTGACAGATGATCTACGCAGAGAAGTATCTACCTATTAATTAAAAAAGTCGCGAGTTAATTGTATTGTGGTTATTTATGTCAAATCATACACATACTATACTAAAGTACTAAATGTAGAATTGCAAAGAAAAATACGTATCTGCTTCTATATTGCTCATAGAATATTTTTTTCAACTCATATTTGAACCTGCCCAATGATGCTGATTTTATGTTTTATGGAAGTTCTTGGTACCCTGGGTGGACGCAATGAGGCAAAAATGACAACTTCATGCATTTTTCGGGCCAAGATTGCGGCAATTCGGCATGACATCGTATGCCATTACTTTGGCTTCTCAGCCATCCTGTAGATCCGAAAATCATTTGTTTAAGTGATCTTCAGTAAATTAATTTCTTAAAGCTTGTAAAAAGCTCAATGAGTCAGTACAAAAACGAAACTCTTTATTGGTTTCAAAATTCACAGTACTGAATATTTTGATAGACGGCTATAGTTCTCAGCAGAGGTGCTGGTTCAACCTCAAGTGAATTGTTAAGCCTGAGTAAGTAAACGACATCTCCGCTTAATTCGACGCCAACTTTCACTGCAAGGTTACTAGTTGAAACTTGGGCCCAAAAACAATGCATTCAGGACCCAACATCTGACAGCACTGTTTCAACCAGATAGAGGTCCAGCACTGCTTTAACCAGATAGAGGTCTCGTTAGTGACGTTACACTGAACCACATTGCATTGCTGCTAGCAATACATTGTTTGTTTGTGTTGGATCGTGAGTGCACTGTTTTCGGATTGTAGTTTCAAATAGTTGTTTTGCAGTGAAAGACAGGACGAATCTTGTTTGGCGGTCGATGTCAAAGTTTGGCTTGGTAACGAACCGCCTTGGAAAACCTCGTTTTTCTTTGATGCTATAGAAATAAGTCGTCTGTCGATCCCATAGATTGTGTCATCACCTTTACTTAACATATAATATTGATTTGTTGGATCACAATCAATAGAAAAGCAAATATTTGAGATTTTATCTTCTGGGTGTGATTGTACTCTCGAATTGAAAATTCATTCTACCGATTTTTTAGAAAATTAATTGCGGAAATAGAAAAGATTAAGAAAGCAGCCCTCATCATAGAAATGAATCAAGAAGAACTTCTAGAATTTCTACACAGGAGAGTAATTTCCAATATGCATCTGCCCATTTCTTTCGTCTTCGTGAGTAGATAAAATGTGGTTTGATTTTCATAGTCACCCATACATTTCATACTGATATCACATGGAATAGGTTTTTTCTAAGGAGAAACACTTGACAAAGCATTCGACAAAATAATGACCAAATTCATGTTATCACGTCCATCATGTCTCCAGCACAACTTTAGTTGTTGATAATGATTTTCACTATTGCTGAAAGTTGTAGAAATGGTAATTTCATACTAATATTCGTCGCGTCGATTGGTCCTATTTGAATTCATGAATGGATAAGAGTGATATGGGAGTTACATTTGAGGGTGTTTTGGGTTTGGGTTTATCGACTATCTAGGAATACAATTGATAATTTAGTTATTATTGAAGATGCGAACATAAGATGCAAGAACAAAAAATAGTTAATCAATATTTATTTTTACTGGTACTTCAACAACTAACTATTCAGCTTGGCTTATATTGATATCATTTTGATAATATTTTTCAACGAATTAACATATCCGTTTTTTTAATTTTCTATCCCTCATATGAACAAACGCTTTTTATCTAGTCATATGTATTCATTCTTTTTGTTTTGAAAGATTTAAGGGTTGTAATAACGCTACTTCTACTATTTCAATTGTGATACTTTCGATAACCGGTTTACAAAACCGCAACACGTGTTTACCTATATAATAGTTTCTTCTTCTTGATCAATATCCCTCATATGAACAAACGCTTTTTATCTAGTCATATGTATTCATTCTTTTTGTTTTGAAAGATTTAAGGGTTGTAATAACGCTACGTCTACTATTTCAATTGTGATACTTTCGATAACCGGTTTACAAAACAGCAACACGTGTTTACCTATATAATAGTTTCTTCTTCTTGATCATACTAACTAGTTATGATCACAGACAAAGCTGCTGTGTGAAAATATTATAATTTCACTTGATTACTACTACTATATTTTACTTCCAACCTCATTCATCCATTTACACCATTCCCTTCACAGCAAATATTGGCTGAAAACCATCCATGTAACTACAAAAAGGTGTTTCACTAGTAAAATAACACTTGATTTACTTATATCTCTTAAAAATTTGATAGCCCATATTCGAGAGTTTATTTGATGAATGGGTTCGTCTCCAAGATAATACGATTCGACTAATGGGACTGAAATTATTTTTCGAAATTCTTCAAGAATCCGTTGTTGCTGTCAAACTCGATACTGATCTGGTTAAAAATTATCGACGTGGATCAGATGATACAGCTAAAATATTCCGCACTCCTCTTCCCTCGAAGGATTTCTTCAAATCCGCTAAGGGCGACTGTAAAGTTTTCAGGAAAGAAATTATAGGAAATTGGAGTAGACAGAGATATGAGGTGAATGACTTTCAACAGCAATGTTTGTTCGGTTTGAAGAAGATGTTGGAAAGGGGGGTGACAACTCAAAAAAATCACGAACAAACACGAGGGGTTACAACTGATGTATCACCAGACCCCCCATGCCATTTAAAAAAAATAGAGCAGGAGCTGCTGTCCGAGGGTGGAGTTTGAAATTAACATTTTTCATTACGCATCCGTATTAATACACATCTCACCATCTTCTCATCTTTCTTGAAGCTTAGGTTATACCTTTCTAATTTTACTTCGAAATGTGAAAGGCCAAATGAGGTCAAAAAAGAGTGGGTCTATTCAATCCTCCATTGCAACCCACAAGGGTTTTTTGTGGCTGACATATATTAAAACTCGACCAGATACGTCCAGCTTCTTGACGAAGCCGACTAGTTTATTTGGTGAGACTTGAAGATAACTCTTTACCGTTCCACAGGTGCTTTTATAAAACACAATTACCTACACATGTGTTGTCACCCTTCTGATTTAGAAAAATCCAGAGTATTTTTGAACCGAACAAGTAATTGCACGACACATGTGGATGAACGGTCCATCTAATGATTTTGTTCTTTATACAGTTCAGCGGATACTGCCCATGGTTTATGGTTTTAACAAAAGGAACTCTAGCAAAAGGAAATGATGATTATGGTATCGCTCAATATAAGAGGTGCTTTTATGTATTTTCTTCACCTATTGGAGTGCAGTACTTTTTAAAAGATCCCGAATAGTAAGGATTTATTTTTTAATAATCTGCTTGTTAATTATTTATTGTTGAGCCTATGGATGTTTTAGTGAATGAATATTGGCAATTACTTTATTATCATTCACTTAGCAACTAATTATTTTACTAGTTCATTTCGCTTGCTATCGTCATTGTTTCTGGTATAATAAGAACAAAATTTGAGGAACTACCCCACCTCTGTTCTTTCTTAGTTTTCACTTTTCCTTGATGCGTCTTGCCGCAATTTATCATCCCCTGCAGAATAAATAAACCTTCTAGTACATTTTCGAAGAAATAGGTAGACACGACCTTCACTAGGTCCAAATCCACTGACTCGCCGCATTCTCAGCATCGGCTCCTATCTACTACGTCTCAGAGGTCACCATTACTCATATTACGTAGACGAGTAATGGTTACCTTTTTGGGGTTAGTTGGGTGCGACAGAAAAAAATAATTCATTTTCTTGGGTGCTAAGTAGATGAATTTCTATCCTCTCTATAATGGGCTAATTCTCTTCTTTCTATTGTGTTGTCTCAACCACGCATACCTATGAATTTCTTGTCCAAATGCTCGTTCATGTGACCATTTGTTATCTGTAGGCATTATTTCGTAAAAACATGGATCATGTTACCCTCTGATTCCCTCCATATTTCTGGTTGGTGTTTTTTTAAATCGTCGTCTTTCATACATCCCACAATTGCCATTATATTTTCCGCTAAATAAAAACTTGAGTTGCTGCGGAGACTGGAGTCATAAGGTGACCTATTTACATTTTATATGGATTACTTCAAATTATATGCATCTGGAGGAATGAGTCATCATCAATCCTTCAGAGCGGTGGAAGAGTATCAGAATGGTATCACTATAGAATTCGGGAAATGTGCAACGATCCATTTCGGAAAGGACACGCTTTCTGTATCATCTGCTTCCGCCACTCAAAACAAGAATTGTCAATACTGAATGACTTCCTCCACAGCATATATCACCATAATCTCTGAGATATCTGGCCGTAGCAGCGGTAACTGAAGAACAACATTGCTGTTACCAACATAGTTGCTGTTTGGCCCTCACCCTACTCTAATGAGTTAAATTCGGTTGAAGCTGTGCAATTTCGATGATGTATCTTCATAGGTGTATGCATCCTAAATCGTCCATTCCAAACCTGAAATGCATGTATTATTCTGGGTTCCCATGTAACTCTGTCCAAGATTACGTTCTTCCTAGACATTGCTTGCAAGCCAGTCTAGGATCTAGGATTATTCTCAGATTTTCAATCTCTCTCGACCATTTTATTTCATCAACTCGAGTTTTAGAGGCCGCATCCCTGTACTTCGATCCTTGGCGAATGTTATTATGGTTGGTATGAATGGCTCAGATTCAGCCCTTTCCTCTTGATGTATTTTGTTATAAAATTTCGGGCATGTAATTTGCTATTCATCACTATGTAATTATATGAGTGGCTAATTTGTTTGCATAGTCCATTATGATCGAGAAGGGTGTAGTAGCTCGTCCATTAGAAAAACCCCTCATCAGTGGGGACATGCCTCCCGATGACTCAGCATAAAAGTATCCATTCACAGCAGCAGTTTGTTAACTAGTGACACATCCCTATTATTTCGGTCAAATATTTCATCAAGAGATGGCGAAAAATTAATTGATCTCATGACATTTACTGAATCGTGCTCGATTTTCCTAAGTTTCGGTTCATTTTTTTGAGTTTGCATTTTTCAACCTGGAATTAACTTAACCCGCACACTTAGATACCTATGCCCAAGAACGGATAAATCAGACAGCCAGAGGGGTTGTTTCTAAATTGCTGATAGGGAATAACATCGCATGATGAATACCATCTTCAATTCTGTACTAGATTTTACATATCAAGAATGTGGTCTGCAATAAAATTATCGGCACTTCCAAAAGATGTAGGTACATTAGGAACAAATAAGTTTCTTTCGAATAAAATCGAAAGCAAAACTTCCTTCCGTTTTTTTGGAAGTGTCCCACAATTTTTGTATAAAGATAGAGAATTAGAAAGCCAAAAAAACTTTTTTCCCAAAAACTAATCTCTCCAAAAGAAACAACTTCAATATCAATGTAATAAATTATTCTTGTTCACAAAACCTTCTAGTCAATCTACAATATTCTAGTAGTTTTTCTGTGATGGAAAAATGTATCAAATTCTTTTTTTTTCTACCTAACGTTTCATATAATGAAAATTCATCAAACGAAGAATATGAGAAATACATATACATTATTGTTCATCATACAATTGAGTCGATGTCGCTATGCCCTTCCACGCCAATGTTCATTTACAACAACTGATTATTTCTTTTAGTTACATCAATCATGTACTGAATTTATGCCGGAAAAAATGTGAGCTTATATTGCATCTCCGTGTCAAGAATCACCTCATAAAAGTACGAAATCAAAAAAAGTAAGTATGAAATAAATATTTATTTGTTGAGAAAGTTCTTTTCGAAAAAGTATTTCGATCAATTAACATTTCTGTGAGACACAGTTTTGTTCACAATCGTGTATCAGTGTTACTATTTTCCGGAGAGACCCACACCCCAAATCGGTACGACCAATCAGGCTTACATCCTTCCTGCTGAAAGGACTTGAGAGGATACTGGACGGACATATCAGGAGGGTAGCATTATATGCATCCCCACTGAATAACCACCAGTATGCTTATCAAACCGGAAAATCGACAGATTCAGCATTAAACAACCTCGTAGGAAAATCTCCCAATCCCTTGACAACAAGGAGATTGCGGTTGCTGTATTTCTTGATATTGAAGGAGCATTTGACAATGCATTACCTAATGATCTATGCCATGCTGGTAAACAGAACTTGAACTACGACTCTTCAAGGCGAGGCTATCAGGTTCAGGGTCACCAGGGGCTGCCCTCAAGGTGGGGTACTATCTCCTCATCTGTGGTCGCTCCTGGTGGATAGTCTGCTTGATGCCCTCGACAGAAGAAAATTTGATCTGCAAGCTTATGCAGATGACCTTGTCATCCTGGCAAGGTCCACGTCGGGAAGGGTAGCTTGTAATATTCTCCAAAGCGCGTTGGACGTTGTTCACAGTTGGTGCGTGAGGGAGCAGATGTCTGTCAACCCCAGCAGAACTGTGTTAATCCCCTTCACCAAGATAAGGAAATTAGGCGATCTAACGCCACTTTCCCTCAATGGTGTGGTCATTATATTTGGAACGGATGTGAAATATCTTGGCATTGTCCTTGATAAAAGACTCACCTGAAATGCTCACTTGGAAAAAGTTTTACACAAAGCCAGACTGTCTCTATGGACATGTCGAAGGATTTGTGGTAAAACTTGCGGTTCGGATCCCAAAGAAATCCATTGGATTTATGTGTTGATTGTCAGACCATTGATCACTTATGGTGCAATTACTTGGTGGCCGAAGGCTTTACAGAAAATGGCGCAAGCGAAGCTTTCTGGCTTACAGAGACAGGCTTGTCTGGATATCAGTGGTGCCATCAGTACCACACCGTCAGCGGCCATGGAGATCCTTGTAGATCTACCTCCTCTCCACATTTTTCTGGAAAGAGAGGCTAGACTTCATGCCTCCAACTCTCAACTATGAACTGCCTTATAAAGTACTATTCCCGAGTAGAGAGGACTGGATCCTGCGGGAGAAGGAAATATTAAAAGCAGATAGTTGTTGGTTCACAGATGGATCAAAAACACCTTCCGGTTTCGGTGCAGGTGTTTTCAGTGGCAGACCCAGGACAGAGATATCAACCTGCCTAGGAACCTATGCGACTGTATTTCAAGCGGAAATTTACGCTATTGAATTGTTTGCGGAGAAATTGGAAGAATCCAATCTCATACAAAAGTCAATAAAAATATTCTCGGACAGTCAAGCGGCATTGGAAGCTTTTGGCTCCTACCGAGCAAAGTCTAAATTGGTAGCAAACTGCCAAAAAAGACTCTACTCACTCCAAGGCGTTTATTCACCCTTCGAAACTTGATTCCAAACAGTTGTTGGACTTCAGTAGGGATGAATTACGGTGTCTAGCAACTGCAGAGCATATACTTTGTGCCTGCCCCGCTGTGGATCGAATCAGGTTTTTTGAGTTCGGCAGATCCGTACTCTAACCATCTGACCTGAAAGACCACTCACCATACAAACTATTCGGCTTCGTTAAGAAGCTGGGTTTATTTGGCCGAGTGTGAATAGGTGTGAGCCACAATAAACCCTTATGCGGTTTAGTCCGCCTCTTTTGTTGATGCGTTGCTATTGGCCGAAGTGGTATTACCTGTTAATGACGTATATATTTCCGCCGTACCTGTTAGCGGGTTGTTATTGGTTACTGTATTAATACTTGACATATTAATGAGTGAAATGTCGTCTCTAAGAGCCGTAACATTGAATTGCGCTGTTGCCTTTAGCATCTTTGATTTTCAGATTGAATCGGCCGTTGCTTGATGAAGATCCATAGTTATTTCAAAAACTACACCTCACGATTTGATCTCCACAAAGTTTGTGGCGATCAAATCGTGAGGTGTAGTTATTGAAAAAAAATGGCATCTCTGAGTATGGGACTCCAAATCCGGCTAAGCGTTGCCGCCTCCACTTTTCTGTTGTAGTTCTCCGTATGCGCGAAAGCCGTAACCGATCGTATATCATTTACGTTTGAATATGTATGTCTTCTTCATTTACTTTCATTCAAATTTCTGATTGAAATTTGATTTTAAAGATGTTCAAAGCCGGTAATTTTCCAGCGGAAACTCATGAGAGCATTTCAGAAATGTTCTCCACTTCTGAGTAACCGCGGGTTCCCCACACTCTGTCTGAAGACCAGGAATACAATTGAGTGGCAGAGGAGATGAGAAATGGCCCTTCAAATCAACCATGATCGTAACAAAGAGTTGCCAACACCCTGACAAAAGCGCAGACGGGCCGTCAAAGAACAGCTACACCCTAAATTGTTGTATGTCTGGTGTTATATCTTTGGTGTCGTCCATTTCAAACTTTTTGAAGATGTAGTGACAATTGATACTGTCCATCACTCTCAATGATTGCGAATGCTTTCCCAGAAACACCTGTCGTTCCAGCACGTAGTATTGTAATTAAATGAATAATTCTACATTTTCATAAAGAACTTTTTTAACAGCGTAACATGTGTATATGTACTGCGAATGGAACAAATCCAAAATGGAGCTTGTTTTACTAAAACTGAAAAATTTCTCACCGATGAAAAGTCGTAGGTCTACATGACATAAAAGAGTTAAGGTGTTTTTCACCTGAACCTGTAGCATGTCGTATGCATATGAGTTTTGTACACTACAAGGAAAAAAATACCTTTTCCAAAACTGGCCTCATTCGTAATACCTTGCGAATGTAACATAAATAAGTAGCTCGAATGTTCATCTTATATCATGCCAGCTTTTCACATAATGAAATCAAATTGGTTGAGTTAGAAAACAGCTTAAGTTGGAGTTGACAAACAGTCCAGCTGATACTGCGCTTATCTATTTCTTTTCAGTTTTGGTTGTAAGCTTTGTTTTTTTTTTCGTAAATGATGATGGATACAGTCAATATATTATTATTTTCATTATTGAATTGGGCAATTCCTAAAATCAACACTAACACACTAATATACGACTATTTCAGACTAGTTGAACATGAAGAGATTCATAAAGAAACTAAAGAACAAGGAACATATATTGAATCATATATGCCGCCGCCGATCTCAAAATATTCCAAATACGATTCAAATGTTTGGGACCTCAGAAGAAAAGCTTGGCAAATGGTGGGTGTTGCCTTTTGACATTGAATATATTCCTAAAAGAAACAGTATTAATTTTAGTAGTTCGAAATTTATGAGAAAACAAATGAAATTAGAATGAACAACTGAAATATCTATTATCCTAAGCAATATTACATGAAAGTAACTTGATTCGAAATCCTTTCTTCCTTAATTTCTTTTTTTAATTTTTGCTCATTTTCATTTTCATCTTTATTATTTCTTTTTACTCTGTGGTTATTTTGTTTTTATTTTTAATATTCAATTATTTTTATTGACTTTCATTTCACGTTTTATTGCTTATTATAATTGATATCTATTTTAGTCGTTCATTCTAGTTTTTTTGGTGTGTTCATGGATTTCGAATCATATTAGACATTTAAAGTCCAAACTAGTAAAATTCACTATGAAATATTGTGCTTATTCTGACTCGGACATCGTTATTATCTTACCATCACCATGAACATCGCATTTATGACAAGTGTCGAGAAACAGGTTGGCATCATTAACAAATGATCATAACTGTTATTGGGGTTATTTCGAAGATTTTCATATTTTTTTACTATATTTTCTGTTACTAAAACTTATTTCAATACAATTGTTACTATAACACAGAATGTTTGAGAAAATTAAGTTGACAATATTTGTAACTACTTAAGACTATAAGACTAGGACTGTCGGTGCACGAATCCTCAGTGGTTTCCTCTTGAAATGTTCTCCTAAACATTGCATTTGTTTTGCTGATGATACGACGATCATCAATCAGCGTAAAAACATTCAGAAGTTGCACGTATTATCTGAGGAATCTGGCAAAGAGGCTGAGAAGTAGTTTGCATCAAACAATTTGAAACTAAATATCGAGAAATCTCAAAGTATTATGTTTTAAACACACGTTGATAAGTCGAAAAGGTTAGTACTAAACTTTTAGGTATCATTTTAGATGACATCCTCTCATGGTCAGCTCATATTGAACAACTCTGCAAAAAACTTTCCAGCCAGTCATTTCTCCTGAGACAATTGAAAAAATGTCTGAACGACCATGTTCTCAAAATGGCATACATTCCTTGTTTCAGTCCCACTTGAGCTATGGCATACTATTGTGGTGAAACTCTACTCAGTTAGAACGAGTTTTTCGCCTACAAAAGAGGGCAATGAGAATTTTAGATGGTACTCCCTTTAGAGAAACGTGCAGACCACTGTTGACAAAATATAGGATATTGACCCTACCTTGCTTGTTTATTTATGAATCAGTCATTGAGATTCACAAAACGATAAATGAATATATGACACACTCTGATGTGCATAATTATCCAACGCGAAATGCAAATCAGTTAAAACCTCTCCTCGTTACAGACTTACTGTTTCATCTCGCAACTCTCTGGGCTCGAGTCTTTATAACAAACTCCATACTGATATCAAAAATTCCAATCTTTATAATTTCAAAGTGTGAAAAATATCTTATTAGAGCATAGTTTCTATGAAGTGAGAGAATATTTGGAAGCACCACTGCTCACGTCTTATCAACACAATTAATCTATTTGTTTGTTAGTAAATTACGTTAGGCTTTTTCGTACTTTTACTACATTAAACTTGATCGAAAATAGTCATTTCGTAAATTTTAAATTTTATACATTGAATTATTTATGTATACATATTAGTATATACACTTTTTGTAACCTGCTACAAATGTAATGTAAGTAGTCAAAATAAACTTACTTACTAGGTTTCGTTCGTCTACATGCCCATCTTCTTCTGTAAATGATTTCAGTAACTCCAGGAAAACTCTTTTCAGTCGGTATATATCAGATTTTCATAATAGTATCAAAACTTGTACTATTAATAATTGCGTCGATGACGCCCAGACGTTTGTCTTCTTCACAATTTCATATAGATGAGGCTCGAGATTCTTTGAACGGCGATCTGACATTACTTTATAATATTTAGAGTATACATGATCAAACATTGATTCTATACATATACCGATAGTGAGCGTAAAAATTTGGGACTATGGTTTTACTCTAACTTTTACAAAATTTCAAATCAAGAGTCTCATCAAATGTAAACTTTTACGGCCGCAGATAATTGTGTGGTCGTGGTCTGCAGGTTTTTATGTCTGCCCTTCCGTCTGCTACTGCCGTAGACGTTATTAAAGGCGATGGTAACGTTGAAAATACTTCTGAATACTACTTATTCACATATGTATATAATCGATCGCTTCAAAACCACTTCACTAACTTTCTTCAAAAGCTTCTGATAATTCCTCTTCCATATTTCCTGTTTCACTATCACTATCGTCATTTAAATCAATAATGAATTTATTTCCATCAATAATATGGAAGTTTCCAATCTCCATATAGTGTCTTTCAGCTAAAATTACTTCTTTAACCCTTTTCTATTATTACTAATACAAACCAGTCCTCGAAAATATTTGCTTCCATATTCTTATGATAGTCAACACTACAGTCCTCAAGTTTTTTTCCACATTATTTCAAAAAATTCGGAACCCATCCTTTACTTCCTCTGCAATGCAAATCGCCATCCTTTGTTTGCAGGCATGTTATGCTTTCACATTCTCGAACCATCAGTCCACCCTTTCGTAACTGTGTCGTGAGTGTCATACAATGTTTCATTCAAATAGAAAATTTGTTCTTGTCTTATTTAGTTATTTGTTTCAAGTATTTGTTACGCAATTCCACTACTCTTCTGTTTTCCACAACTGCTTGACTTTTTATTTTATTATTTCAATTCTGAATCCGTTTCTTCATCCAATTCTGAAGAGTTTTATCACAGCAGCTCATTTTATGGCGAAGTATTCAATTTCTTCCTTAGGATTTCAGTTGTAGGAATTTCATTGCTTTCGTAACAGTCGTATATTATTTTTTTCAACGATTTTATTAGATGAACATCTAAAGGTATCACATCGCGTCTTGCGTTCACAAGGTTTGTTTTTGACTATTCTACGTACAGTTGAGAAAGGAATTTCGGTCAAATCTGATGTTGCTTGTATAAGTTTGTTTCCCTCGAAACCAAACTTAAGTTATAAACTCTTTTATACATTGAAACATACTCTCTGTGTTTGAATATTCAAAAGCATCCGAATCGTATTCACTGGTATCTCTTTTTCGCATTGTACACCATCGCTATTGGAATCACTACACTGGAAAAAGTCTGTATTGTTATCACACTCTTTATTACTATTCGTTTTTGTCCAAGGACGCCACATTTTGAACAGATAACAAATATTTCAAGTAATTATAACTGCATCAATATCGACTTTCAATAATCAAATCCTGATCAGTTCCTGAACTGAACACGATGGCGACAACCTTCCCCGATTTCCATTGGTCACCGTAACATGACTTCAAATTTAAGTTTATGACTCTTCTGCCACTCATAAAACTCGATTAGTATAAATTATCCAATACGAACCGCCAAGTCTACAGTCCACATGGACTAGTTTGCTGCCGGTTTATTTGTATGTATTGGTATTTTTGGCCATTGAGGGTGCCGCCACCTTTAAATGTGCACAATATCGTTTACTTTAACTATACCTATTTATGAATGCTCTCCTTAAATCGATTCCTGATATGTAAATCAATGATATCACTCTAATTGATATTCATCTTTCAAAATATTCCTTATATTAATCATAAAAAAAAATATTGTTTTCTACTCGCAAGAAATTGTGATTACTCGCTTCTATGATTGACGAGTATGACGACCTTCTTTCTCACGAGTAATAACCGCATTTCTCGCTCGTTGAATAATATACTATCATATGGCGGTCAGGTTTTCTCAACTTTAGATATTTGTGTTTCCGTTAATCAGTTACCCAGATATGCTACGACAATGGATATCATTTTAAAAGTTCAAATCGAAATTGACAGAAATACAGATATTTTCTTTTGATTTTAGATTCATGTGATATGTTTGGTTCAGTCATGAAATTTACAATGTTTTTCTCAGAGAGAATTTTTTTATAAACAATACGTTCATATAGAAATTGCAGTACTACAAGTTATTCAGTTTTTCGGGTATAAAAAGGAATAATTATTTCCCACTCCTTGGCGGACATTTTTGCGACTAAAAAGTTCATTACTCATTTTCATATCTTTCAGGCTTACCTGAAAAATTGTAAAACATCATCCACCCAAACTGAAAGATCATTCAGCAAAAACTGTAATCCAACACAGACGTACATGCCAAAGGAAACTAGTGTCCAAACAACTGTGGACAATTATTCCGAAACTCCTACACCTTTAGGATTTTTTTATGGACTTCGTGGAAGAAAAGATGCCCAGCAGTTACTCCTTGATTTAACCTATGGCGAATTCAAATAGATTTCACAATAAAAATGTAGTTAAGCCTAATACTCGTAGCTGTTTTATTCAAACCTTTTTTCAGTCTATGCTAAATAGCTTGAGTGAAAAGTCTTAGGAAATATTTGGATGATACTATATTTCATCATTTGAATACAATTTGAAATGTTTTTCTTTTCATAAAATGAAAAAGTTGCGTACATGTTTCGAAGATAACATAAAATAAAGAAATTATCTAATGGAACAATTCGTTCAGGCCAGTACCTACACAGTAGGTGTATGGACTGACACCTATCAAAAAACAACTACTTTCCTGGGCAAAACCACGAATGGCGTTGGATTATATCTGACAGGTGTCAGTGTAGGATTCTTCACAGAAGTAATTATGTTCATCATTCGCTTCAGCCTAGTTCGAGGAATAATACTCTGAAAGGAATTCGATTTTTAATTAGAGGAAATATCGACTTCATGTTGATGATTGACATTACCTTGCACCGGCCTGCAAGTGTGTACCAATAAGTAAAAATCGATTCTGGTTGTATAGATAACATCATATGCGGGAATTACTTCTGGAAAGAATCCTGCACTGATACTTGTCGGTAATCCAACACCTTGTGTGGTATTAAGCAAGGGAGTAGTTGTTTTCTGATATATGTCAGTCCATAACTCTACTGTCTGGGTAAGCTAAGACTGGCCTGAACGAAATGTTCAGGCAATTGTTTGTTCCAGTCTTCACGCCCATGTACTATAGGAATAAAAACAGAATAGAGAAAAGAACTAGTTGAGCATGTAATGTTATAATCTCGGTACAATAATCTGAAACAGAAAGCATTAACAAATTTCAAAATTATCAGTGATTGGCTAGTAAAATTTGATGGTAACAATATGATTTCAAAAAACTAACTATGTATCATTCTCATGTAGAAATTATTTGTTGAATATTGAACCCCTTAATACTCGTATTTATCTCAATTTGTAAAAATTAAAACCAGTTGATAGTATCAAATTATTTGGAGTAATGATGAATGAATATCTGAAATGGAATGATCATATCAACTATATGTTGGAGTAACTCCAAATATTATTACTATTCAAAAGGTTATCTGAAACAATGTATCGAAATAAATCATTTGGAGATAGTCTATACTTTGCCCAATTCAGTCACCGCCACTCATGGAATATTAGGATAAGCGAAGTCCCAAAAAATTGTAAGTTATCCCAAAATATGAAAAATGTGGAAGTGACATGCCAGGTTATTTGATTTATTTTCAATACCAAAGATACAGTGGCGACATGGAGAAATCTGAAGTTTATGAGCAATGTGGCCAAAATTTCTCAAAGCGGTATGACATGAAATGTCTTTCAAACTAGGTGAAATGATTTTACGTTTTCAAACTATTCCTTGGAATGCAAACAAACGCTGCCAAATCTAAATGATCCGGAAATTTTGCACTATGCAAGCAAGGGTTGGAAACTCAATTATTCGAAATTTTTTGTAAATTCATAAGCTTAAACATTTCAGATGTAACCTGCTAAATAATCACATCCATATCGTTTTCTCATAGGTTTTAAAATTAGCGTACACACATTATCACAGGTAAACAAAATTCAAGTTCTCAATTGAGTTAAGTACCTCTGTTATTACTTACAGTGGTGTTAAGATATATACGAGCTAATATTATCAATTATTCTTCACTTTGAACATGTCCGTATAGGACGAAACTGCAGTAATGTTATTTACGAGTACAAGTGGTAGTAATGTTAGTTACGAGTACAAGTGGTATAAAAACATAGAAAGTTTTATTTCTCATTTTTCATGATGATCTCCTACCACGTTGTAACGGCTACTAATATCAATTTACTCCAAAAATTTAAAACTTATAAAAGTTACGAACATGAAAAAATATACAGTGAGGACGTAAAAAGTCCTCTCCCCCCTTAACTTTTGAACGGAACAAGCTATCGAGGTTGCGTAAAATTCAGGTAAAAAGGTACTACTTTTACTACGTTCCATCAACCTTGTTTTAATATAAAGGGAGGTGACGTGGCTCCTGGTTTTAAAGGCCTTCCGATTCTCCATCCAACACCGCTCTGCTTGTGAATATCGGCCAAGCCGTTTCAAACTGATAAGCGTTTGAAATTTGCTCTAGGTATTCAACAAATAAATTATTTCAACTATCAATTGCAGTAGAATTTCAACTCCGTTACTGATTCTGGTCAAAAAACCAATGTTTTGTGGTAAAACGTGCGAATATTATTGGTATTTCAAATTGTGGTTTTTGTTCCAGTTTTTTATACCTCAGTTATTTTGCTAGAAACTCCAAATAGCATTTCATTTCAACGTCAGTCTAACATTGACGTTAATCATATCGACACTTCTGACAGTTTTTATAGGTTTCAGTATTTCTTTATAATTTTCAAATGCCTCGTCCCCGTCCTTTACAAGAAAAACCAAAGCAATTTCAATTTACGGTGAAGCTAGGCGTAATTACCACGAAGCAGAAAAAATATTTAATGAGCGCTTCCCAAATAATCCAATATCTCGTACCTATTTAAGGAAATCGGTCAGTAAATTTCAAAGGACTGGTTGCGTAACGACGACATTCTGGCAGCTATTGTTACAATAACTCTATTTGTTTTAGTGATGAAAGTACTTTTTTTCTTAATGGAACAGTAAATAGATAGAATGTACGTTATTGGTCAGACGTAAATCCGCACGTTTTTCGAGGGGGTTATACTCAAACTCCAGAGAAGATCAACGTGTGATATAAGTGACCATATCATACGTCCAATATTTATGGCAGAGAATGTAACTGGGTGTAACCATGGATGTTACCTTTCAACAAGATGGTGCACCTCCTCACTACTATAGGTCTGTCCGAGAATGGCTTAACTAGAATTTTTCGGGACGGTGGATAGGCCGACGTGGCCCCATTGAATGGCAATATAAAATCTGAGGTGTACTTCACGCAGCCACAGTCTCTTCAGGAACTTATGAACTGAATTACAGATGTCTGTTATAGTATTAACAAGGAAACATTCAACAACGTTCGCAATGAATTCCAACACCGACGTTTTTTCTGTCAAGAAGTGAACGGCAAACATTTCGAGCACTTGTTAAAATAGTTGAAATTCTTACTCAAAATTTTGTTGCAATTAAAAGGTTTTTAGGTTTTTGATTTATTTGTAACATATTTGAAGTAAATTTCAAACGCTTGTCAGTTTGAAACGGCTTGGTCGATTTTCACAAACACGGCAGTGATGGATAGACACTCTGAAGGTCTTCAAAACAAGAAGTCACGTGACCCAGCTTTAGATTAAAAAAAATTATGATGCCCTCTTGACACTAGGCCACGTGACCACAATCATTTTTATGCTGAATTTTACCCATCCTCGATAGCTTGTTCCGTTCAAATGTTAAGGGGTGGGGACTTCTTACGTCCTCACTGTATATATTCAATATAAGTAAATGATCATTGGGGTAGAAGTCTTACACAGAAGCTGTGAAACTTCTGTAAATAGGTGAAATTACATTTAGTGGAATACATACATGTGTTCAATAAGACAGATGTGAAAAGAGTTTTATTAATGGGTGATATTATTATTCGGAATGAAGTCTATCGTTATGAATAAATATTTTCATTTTTGGGATGTGTAGTAAGAAATTAGAAGAATACATGATCTGTGAATAAAAATAGAGATGAATCCACGAAGTAGGTACTTATTGTAGACATATTCGACCCTTTCTATTTTGAATCATTAATTCCATTCAACCATGGATTTTTGGTAATAATTGAAGATAATTTCAGCATATTTTCTGCAGAAAGGTTCTTCAATCCCGAAATAACTTGTGCATTTCACACCTTCGATGAAATATGTCGAATTATTTTCGTTAGAACATCAGATGGAATATCATATACTCGTGTTTATATTGAGAAAGAGCATGATTGTTGATGTAAATTCAAAATATTAGGGGTCCTAAAACTGTACCTTGGGGTTTCCCTGTTATCACTGTTTGCGGTTCCCTTACCTTATACTCTATCTGTATATACTCGTATTGTGTTCTGATTTATAAATATTTCCGAAGCATACAACAAATTACTCCTCTGATACCAATATATTTCATAATGCTAATCAGTTTTTCAAGATTTTTTGGTATTAAGTCCTTAGCGAGTGTATAACGATCTGTAGATATTATATTTTACATAGCTTATTCTATCTTCTGTTGATCTGTTGTGTGTGAATGCAAACTGTGTAGGAGAGAGTACATAAGTTTTTCTTTTTCTCGATAACTTTGGCTACTATACAGTGGTCTATAATTCCAAATCTATTTTTCATCCCCTTTTTTGAATAATGGATTAATTAAGGCATAGTCCTGAAAGTTGGATTTCGGGCCACAATTAGAGAACAGAGAATGGATCAAGGACGTATAAAGTTGTTTAAATGCTTGCTGCTGAGACTGAAATGCTGCTTAAATGTTGAGACTGAAATTAAGACAAAGATATGGGTTGGCTTTATGAGTGATAAAAACTCCAGTGGTTGGGTTTGTATTTCATGGAAGGCATCTCTCAATATAGAAATACCTTTAACTGATGAATAGATGTAATTCAATTTCATGAATTAATAGAAACAAGTTGCGTAATCAAATCAATAATCGCTCATAACTCATGAGTAGTTGGCAATCATTCGAAGTGCTTTCAATAATATTGATCTCATTTCATACTGTTACGAATAACTACGATATCTTGGAATTTTGGATTAGTTTTTTGTGGATAGAAACATATTATTTGATGTTTCATGGATTTCGACATTCACCGTTTCACGTTTACTACTGATTAATTTCTTTTTTATTGCGACACGCGATTTTCATCGTTAATACGTGTTTTATGGTTTATAATAACTGTTGTGTGATAAAGAGAACCAGTTGGAGACGTAAATGCTACCGGGTGATAATAAAATCCTTGTTCACGGCACCATTCATTTGTAAGTTTAAAAAAAAATCTGTTTTTCCGTCAATCATCTGTCGCACCCCTAAGAAGGACAACTCTCCGAAATAGCAACTTGTGCGAGCTAAGGACTAACGAGGTCTTACCTTTCAACGTGTGATCCCTAACACTGTTAGGGTTAGAAATTTGAAAGTTGCAAATAATGATGGCAAATTGAGCAAAGAAGAAAATCTCACAATAAAAAGTTCGCGAGATATGAAATCTAGAACACCAATATGACATTTCTCATAAAAGATTCGTGTTTTCAAACCCCCCATCACATAACAAATTTTGAATACGTACCTGAATAATTTTGATCTCTGTGGTTAGTTAATTATCTCGTGCATACGATGATATTATTACAAAAGTTCGATTTCAGAAAGTTTCGTTCGTTTCAAACACTCGACTATCTTGAAGTCACATTTGTTGAGAAAGAAATGCAAAAACAGGTTGATCTTCAATTCAAAGGGGACAATCATATTATGATTCACAACCTAAACCTCCTCCTCATACCTCCTCCTCCTCCGTCGCTTGGTGACCATCACCCTTAGAATTCGATTAAGGATAGTACCAAGTGTGGCATATCATTGAAAAGACACTTCTATTTGGCTCCCTTTTGTGGGAAAAACAATGTCATCTAATATCGAGAAATGCTCCAAATTAAGTAACAAAAACGAATTAACGGAAAGTGAATGTACTATGCTGTTTCCAGGACCAAATCCCTACCTTTTTTATTATAAAGGTTCATTTTGGAAATTCTCAGACCTCGTACCTTGACGCTGAGGAAGGTCTTCAGCCATTAGGAGGACGTGAGTAAATATCGTTTGGGTGGTCGTATTAGATAAAATTGAACTCGGAGATGAGGGTTGAATAATATCAATAATAATAACTCTAAAATATCTGAAACGACTGTAAAATCATTTTTGGGCGCGGGGACGTCATCATGGTACATACGTCGTCATGGACCATACGTCGCGCGCCATTTTTTTTCTTGGTCAATAAATTCAACATTCTTTTTCCCTTTCATTCGATGTGCTGCACGTGACGATCCGATTGTTACTAACGAAGATGCGGCCTAGTGCCCTTCTGTCATGTTGCCCATCTTTGTTTTTTCTTTGTCGATAGATTTTGCGCCCCTTTCCCTTTCATTCGACGTACTGTACGTGGCTATCCAACTATTGTTAACGAAGATACGGCTTAGTGCGCTTCTGACATGCCAACTCTCGGAATAAATGCCTACTCCAGAGGCCAATACACTCAAAGTCCCTCCTGCGTCTAATGATGATTTTACAGTCTTCTCAAATCCTACTGTTCATTCTTTCCATGTTTTGAAAATTTGCAAAATGAACCTTCATAAGAGAAAGCATGGGATTTGATTTTAGAAACAGCATAGTAAATTTACCACGGAACCCAACCTGACCTATGTTACACGCCAAAACGAATACAAAATATAACCAAAAACATAACCTAACCTAACCTAACCTAACCTAACCTAACCTAACAATTTTTTTCAATATATCAATATCTACCGGAGTTTTTTCAAAAGTACTCCAAACATATGTGGTAATCCCTCTTTTAAGAAAATGATTCATTAAACATCAACAACTACAGGGGAATGGCTTGGTTCCCTATTTTTTCGTGATTGCCAAAATGGATAGTCAATAGACAACTCCTAAAGTATATATCGGAACGTGAAATATTATCCGACTGCCAGTTCAGTTTTCGCCCAAAAATCAAATACAACAAATGTTACCTTCTATTCATTAGAAATTATGAGGCACTACCTAGAATCTCTACAATATCTTCTTGGAATATTTTGCGACCTGTCCACAGCCTTTGATTGTGTTGATCACGCTTTACTACTGATCAAATTAGAGTATTATGGAATACGGGGCGGGGCATCCCACTGGAATGGTTTAAGAACTTATCTTCTGAGCGGAAGATCTTGCACAGAACAACTTGGTTCATTATCATTATTCGGAAGGCGGTGTCGTGAGAGCCGGTGTACCACAAGGTTCCACTCTAGTACTTTTTTTTTATTTATGTCAATGGTATCGCTTGCAATTTTCCAGCAGATGACACAAGCATCATAATCCGAGAAAATAATTTGAAATATCTATAATAAAGTAATAAATACATGTACTTCGCATAATTTTAATTCATGCTCAACTGTACACTGTCACTGATGCCTCACTTTGTCATGGAAGGGCATTTTCCTGAAATGCGTCACAGGAGACTACCTTCCCAAACTACACGTTTAAGTTGCTAAGCTACCTGACGAAGGTGGTAGCAGACTCACCGCCAAACTCGCCTTCATTAAATTGAGAAAAATTCAATATGTCTGTCAACCTTCAAGTGGATTATTCTGCACAAGAAAATTCAGGCCCTGGTAGCAGATTGCTTACTCTGTAATAGAACCACCATAGACTGTATTAGGTTTGGCAGACATCCAATTTTCCAGCTGAAAGATTACTCACCAAATGAATTGATCGACTGATTTTATTTGGCAGAGTTTGAATAGGTGTAAGCCACAATGAACCCTCGCGGGTCACTGTGGAGGGTGGAAAAACCCACCCACTTTCGATCTACCCCTACTTATCAAATTAAACCATTCAAACTTCTACTCATGAAATAACTGAACCAACGAATTGAGTTAAATATTTATTTTTCTTCATTGACATAATACACTTTAATTATTTCTAATCTTATATTTTCTAATAATTCAAATAACTGTGGAATTGGAGGTGAAAACCTTAATAGTTATTGCTTTGCAAACATTCCTTTAGATCAGAATTATGTTGGAAATGGCTTTTTTCGTTATCAAAACGCAAATAAAAATAGTTTATCCTATTCTCAACATAACTTTGAATTTTTCGCGTTTTGTTATCTGGAAATAGGCAGTATCTTTTTTAACAGTTTTTATTTGAATTGGTTTTGAATGGCTTTGCTGAATTAAAAAAAAGGGGGTTTGGTAAAAACTGAAAAACAGTTGACGAATAAGTAAAACAAAATATGTTAGACGGTTTGTTTTATTGAAGAAAAAATAATGAGGTAGAAAATGTACAGAAAACTAAAAAATAATTCGGAAGGTAAGGAAAGAGTCATCACACCACTCTCCTCAGCAATCTACGGTATTGATCGTGTGAAAAATAATAAAATAATTGGGCGTAGCGTAACGATCAGTATCGTAGATTGTTGAGGAGAGTGGTGTGATGATTGCTACCTAGGACGTTTCAAATTATTCTTTAGTTTTGAGTACATTATCTACATCTACATCATTATTATTTTTTTTTCAATAAAACCGTTCAACTTAAAAAATATTTTTTTATTTTATTTTCAAGTTTTCAGTTTCTAATTTTTATCCACCCTAATGCCACACAGATCTCGGAACGTTTCAACCTTTTACCTCAACTTGGGTGGTTTATCGCTAACGACGTATCATTTTTAGCCATCCTAACGCCACACAGTCCTCGACACGATACAAAATCTTGACTTGGGTGGGAGGTGCATGCTTGTATCACGATTCTGAGTTGATAAAGTTCTTGTATAGATAAACTGACCATTTTTTTTTCAACCCAAAACGGGACGTCCATATACAACATATGTATGTATGTATGTATGGTCCATACAGTATGGACCATACTCCATACTGTATGGACCCATTAAAGCACCTTATAATAATAATAATAATAATTCGTCTTTATCATTCCCAATATTAGGTGATTAACAGTTGAATACAATTTTTTTTATTACTAAAAGGCGAAGTTCAGTTTATTTTCATCAGAGGGCGATAAAAATAACCTGTTCCTCCACTTCCACAGTGGTTAATGAGACAGTAATTATTAAATTATTTGCAATATTATATTTTTAGTAGTATTTATATTTTTCGGAGGAACAAATTTGCTTCAATAAAGATGGTGATGATTTTAAATATGAGTGAAATTCTTGGCACATTTTGATGTGTACCAAATATCAGATCAATCTGTCAAAGGAAGGGGTTCAAACTTCAATTACTAAATTTGACCCAAACAAACAAACAGTCTTGTTCAATTCATTCTCATTTATTATATTTAATATTTTTAGGAGATAGGTGATAAAAGAAACATCGCTGATAACACTGATTTTTGTTTTTATTGTATGAAAACACTAAGTCACGTTAATGTCTAGTAGTGGTATTATCACTACTTTGACATTGTTCAGAACCAACACTGGTGATTTCGGATTCTTCACTCCACGGTTCTGTTTGACCCGATGCAAAACATACGTAAAACATAGTAGCCGATACGTATACTCCACAAGATATGTAGAAGATTATCCGCCATTGATCTGCATTTGTCTGAAATTAAAGTTTGTTCAGTTTTTGTTCTGAGGAACATGTTTTGTAAAATAACCTTTGAAAATCGACAGTGACGGGTAGTAATTTGTACTTTCAATGTCTAAATTTAAATGTATGAGACTGGGGTGCACAAACAAGTTAGTCATCAATATCTCCCAAATTTAACCAATTCTTCTTATTTGTACAGAACTGATATACGGTAAGTATATGTGGCCGGGGCCTAATTATTCGATCATTTATTTGATTGACACTATCGGTGGTTGTTTTTGAAATAATCGTCAAAAACTCGAATTGTCTAATTTTGTTTTCTACCATCTCCATTTCGAATGATATAAAAATAGACAGAAGAACTTTCAATATTGTTTCATATTTGTTATAACCTGATACAAACTAATTTGCAATGCGACGTACATTATTTGCCGTAGATTATGAAATATTGATCTCAAAACTAAACAATTTTAACATCCGAAGGAATTTTATTAATTTCATTAAGTAATAGATAACATTATGGTAACATAGAAAATGAAAATGGTTCCTCAAAGAAAACAAAATTTTGGGTTACCCTCAGGATCTTTTCTTGGTCCAACTTCTTTTTAATATACAGTGCATTCCATTTAAAACGAGCCACCCTGAATAACGTCTGGTACAATGATATTCAAGAAAAATTAAAAAAAAATGTCAACAATAGTGTACAGGGGGACACATTTTGACATATTCACATTTGATGTCACTTCCCCTATCGCACCCCCAGAGCATGTCACCAATTTTTTTTGAATGGATGTATATTGTTTCGCATTATCAGGTGATCCATCATGAGCAGATTTCAACAAAGTATAAAACATATGGTCTGAAGCTTATGGTTCGGGAGCTACAAATTATTTGAGTTGAAAACGAGTCACCCTGAATAACTTTTGAAACAATGCAGGAAAAATAAAAAAAACAGGTCAACAATTATACTGCAGATCACATTTTGGAATATTCGTTCTAGAGGCAANCCTCACGATATTCTCTTGAAAATCTTTTAATATTGTTGATTCTATCTCATTCACTTAAGACTTCAAATGACCCCATAGAAAGAAATCTACAGGAGTGAGATCCGAAGACCTTGGTGGCCATTCTGTAGAACCTCTTCTGCCAATTCAGTGACCAGAAAAATGATGATCTAAAAATTGTCGCACAGGACCTGCATAATGAGGTGCACCATCCTGCTGAAAAACTATTTCGTTTTCGAATAAATTTATATCCTCCTTAAATTGTCCTATTGATGAACGTTATCATTCGATTCTCCAACATATCCAAATATATATCTCCAGTCAAATTATCATTTATAAAAAAGGTCCTATGCTGTGGTCACCTGAAATTCCTGCCCAAACAATCAGTTTTGGAGGTCGTTGGGTATGAACTAAACGGTATAAATGAGGATTCGTATCACTTCAATATCGACAATTTTGCCGATTCACCTCTCCATTTAATCTAAACGTACATTCATACGAAAAACAAATTTTATACAAGAAATTCTGATGCAAGTTGATCTGTTCAGTAAGACTTTCATAAAACTCGATACGTCTATCGAAATTATCTTCGTTCAATTCATGAACTAGTCTAATCTTATATGGAAGAAATTGGTACCCATGAAGGATCCTGAAAACATTTATACGACTGATTTCTGATTCTCGGGATAACTTAGTAAGACATTGCGAATTTTCCGTTAGTCCAAAGTGCCCTAAAACTGCAGTACAAATAGCTTCATCGTTAACAACTCTTGAACGGCTATGCTTTTTATGCAATGGAATGATCTAGAATTTTTCGTATGAGATCCTGTAAGTTTTTACGCTAAAAGTAGGGTGTGGTGATATGCTTTATAGAAGAAGAGGCAACAGTATTAGGACAAGTGATGTGATGTGATAGAATGCGAATAAAAATGATGTGACTAAACTGAAATTTACAGTCATATAGCGATCATTCAGAGGCATACGAATGTTGGATCAACTAAGAGATATATTTTTCATCGGTAATTTAGAGTAAACCTCTTTCTATTAGTTGTAGCTATATTACTCATGAAGGATCCTACGATGAACGTAACAGTGTACTGTCTCTTAATATTTTCGAAATGTTCATGCATGGAAAGTTAATAGTCCAAAGACAACTTTCATAAACATGTAATATCAGTGGTATCAATAGTTTTAATATCTTCGTTACCAGATTTTCTTTGACCTCACCTCATCTCTCACAATATAACCTGCTATTATAGGACTCACAATACCAGGAATACAGGCTATCGTGTTACTGAATCCAAAAATAATGGCAGCGTATTTTCGTCCAATATCTAACACATTGACACTGAAAAATAAAGTCGATTATAATAATAATAAATGGTCTTTATTCATCGTACACAAGTTACAAATTTGCCGATGAAAGGCGAAGTTCAATTTACGCTGTTTTACCAACCAACTTGAAGTGAAAAAAATTAAAAGGTAAATAAAAAGAGAAAACATACAGTAAGTAAATAATTACAAATTACGAGTTAGCTCTGAAAGATATTGCAATATACCTAATACATCACATAATATCAGAAAACATTCGACTAAGTGTTATATTACAGGGAAATCAATGATCAATAACCAGTAAGGAAACAGCCAAAAAAAATATTTCTCCCGTTTAAAAAAATCGCAAGTTGATTTAAAATGAACTTTTAATTTTTTTTTAAAATTATAAATGGAAAATTCACTGGGTAGAGAGTTATATTTTTTAATTGAATTGTATATAAAACTGCGCGTTAATAGAGAGGAGGAGTGTCTAGGAATAATGAGTATACTTGTTGCGAGTGTGAGATTTATTCTGGGATGTCACATATCTCTTTAGTAGATAGTCTGATTTCTTTTTCAGCAAAATTTTATGAGTTGCCACAAGCAGGTGTACTTTCTGAAGTCACATTGCGTCAGCTTGTATCAATGCAGGACCATAAATATAATCACAATATGATATTTTTATCATAATAAGAGAGTCGCATAGTTTCAGTTCGAATCTGGTTGACATTATATCTCTACTATGATATAGTTGACGCAAAATANATGTTTTTTTACCACTTTTATTTGTAACTAACCATACATTTATTGCATTCGTTTAAAAATGTCCTTAATATAAGACGAAACTGCAGTAACTTTATTTACAAATACAGGTGGTGAGAAAACCTGGAAAGTTTTATTTCTCTACTTTTCACTTCAAATCATTTGCAGTAATGGTCAATTTTCATTATTAATATTCTGGAGCTAATGATTAAAATTGATTTCTCATTTGAAAATATTCTTTCTTATATCTTCAATGATATGAATATTTGAAGTAAAATCATTCAATATTCACTCACCTGAATCCACTCAAAGATGCGCCTCCACAACCTACAGCTAGTATGAAAAAAATAGTTGATTCTAGTGGGGACGCAAAAAATGCTGCCATCAACAGAAATATTGTTTGGCCAGTAAATCCCACTATCGTGCAAAGTTTTCGTACTTGAACTACCGAGAATATCTTTTTAGATATCAGCCAGTCTGCTAATTGTCCGCATAGAGGTGTTGCTATAGCGATTGCTAAATACGGCAAGGCAGAATTGATTCCCGTAGCATTGAGATCGAAACCCAGAGCTCCTGCAACCGTCAGTGGTATTTAATACTTCTCATTGTTATTCGTCATCTTGATTGTGTTTGAAAAATATTAAAATTAGTCATCTTTGCTGCATGATCATTATTCAATCATACTTGAACATATCAGACGTTTCGCTCTGTGTATATAAATTGACATTTCAAACTCTTTTTTCTTCTATGGATGAAAGTAAATTAATGAAATTAATAAAAACACTATCGTCTAATTACCGCTAGTGGTAATTAGACAAAAGTGTTTTTATATCATTAAAGTGATCATGAATTACCATAAAATAAACAAGTCATCAATCACACATATAAAAGTATTTATTCATCCAGTTTTCTTGGCCAAACATGCAATATAAATTTTGGCATACGTATGCACTATCACTTGTAGATAAAATCATCTCCGTATAACAAATCTATCTATTTCAATTTTTGATGCCAACTATGATAAAATGAAAACAATAGTTACATAAAAATGATTTTTCATAGTTTTTAGCTCTAATTGTTTGAAAATTGTTATAAACAAATGCATTGTTTTTAAGTTTTTGAAATTTTTTTCGAAGGATTTTTATCGAGATGAATATTATGATTTTC